TTTTAATTCCATTTTCATCCTAATCAACCTAAATTAAGAATAACTATGGGTTCATCTTAGGTGAATAGGTCATTACATTGTCTTAAGCATGAAAGTGCATACGAAGGTTGAATGATATTCCTTTGACGCTTGATCTCCTCCCTTTAATGAAGCTTTCAGATCTTGAACTAGATAGCATCAAGACCATGAAAAATATTGAGATTTACAATGGACTCTACGAAATTAGTCAATTACAATATGTAATCTAACAAAGATATTTGTACTCCAACTTAAAGGGAAGTGTTATGAGATGTCTTATATGCCAGGAGTGGTATTTATGTATTTTGAGTCTTATTATTATAAATACATGGGGCTAAGGGAGATAAACCTAATTTGATTCTTGGGGTTCTCTCTCAACAACCACCACATTTTCAAAACTCTCTCTTCTTCTCTACATCATCTCCTTGTTTCTCTTCGTGCAATGTCACTACACTCATTGTCTATCACGCTAAACCTTTAGGTATCCCTAATTCTACGCTACATCTTCTGTAGATATCCCTATCTTCTTCCTCTCTACATCTTCTCCTTGCACCATGAATGATTCTACAATTTATAGTTTGCCCCCTTAATTATTAATTTTCTCACATTGCATCTCGAATGTCATAAAATGGTTGCAACATGACTCTTACACTATCTTCTATTGTTGTTTTCTTCAAACTATCATGTGTCACATACAATAGAATGAATCTTTAAAGGTGTAAATTGAGAATTTGCAAAGTGAAATTCTCTCTATTTAAAATCAATGATAACATTTAGGTTTGACCTACTATTAGGAAAAAAATTGCAATAGCTAAATGATGGTGTGTTACATTGGTCAACCACAGACCCTTAGTTACTTAATATAATCCTCCACAAGAAACTTATTTTTTTCTTCAAAATTAAGGCAAATAACGACAAATATAAAAATAAGAGTTCTTTTGTAAAATTTGTGAAAAATATTATATCAATCGATAGGATAGAAAGATTAGAAAAAGAAGTGAACTTAGAAAGTTATATGATAAGTAATAACTTTCTTGTACAGTTTGGCTATGTTATCCTTTCACGTAGATGGTCGCGTGAACTCATATTTGCCTCCCTCGGCCAAAAATCTAACCTTGGTAGGATTCCCCCAATGCAAATTGATTGTAATATTTTAGAATTGATCTCAATAATTTTTTTTTTTTTTTGTTATTATTTAGTCCTATTGAGTAATTGCTTAAGTCAAATGAGATGTAGCAAACTCTTATTTAGTTGTCACTAAAGGTAGCAAATCGGCAGATTGGATTGGTTATAACTTGTTCCAATTGGGTTTGTTGCAAAACAAATCTAATCCATTTTTAACACACTTAATAAATGGGTTATAATGAGTTAGATAATAACAGGTTGGATTAAACTCATTAACCCGTAAAATAATTAAAATTCTAAATATAAATAAATTCTAATACATCAAATAAAACATACCCTAATAAACAAAAAAATATATACACTAATACACCAACAGACACACACACTGATGCACTAAAACATACACACACATTAATACACCAAAATATATACATACACACACATACTTATACACCAAAACGCACACACGCACACATACATACTAATACACCAAAATGCATACACATACACAAAGACACTAATACACCAAAACATACACACACTAATACACCAAAATATACACACATAATTCAACAAAACATACACACATAAACTAATACCCAAGGATCGGGTCAAGGTAAGATCCGAGATCGGGTCTGAGTCAGGTCCAGGTTCGGCATCAGGGATCGGGTCGGGTCCACAGTCAAGGTTGGGTCCAAGGTCGGGGTTGGGTCCAGTGTGTGTGAATGTGTTTGTGTATTAGTGTGTTTTTTGGTATACTAGTGTATGTGTGGGTGTGGGTGTGGGTGTGTGTGTTTTGATGTATTAGTGTGTGAGTGTGAGTGTGTGTTTTTATTTAGTGTATATGTGTATTTTTTTAATGTATTAGTGTGTGTGTGTGTTTTGGTTGTATTATTATGTGTGCATTTAATTTTATTATTTTTATTATTTAATAAAAAGATAAATACTCAACTCAATGGATACCTATTTGTAATCTATTTTAACTTGTTTAATTAAAATAAGTCATATTATACAACTCATTTAGAACCTACATTAATTAATAGAAAAATTTGGAGGTCGGTCCCTTTTGTGGACTTATTTGAATTTAAGTCCACTCAAAAAACTTGTTTAGAAATAAGTCCATTTTGATTCCTATTGTTCAAAATACCCCTAATAGTTATATTTAATTAAATTAAATTTACAAACTAACTACTCCTAAATTTTAGGAATATAACTAACATTAAAAAAAAATTTGTCCCTCATATATATCTACTAGTTATTGTCTGTGCTTAAAGGCGTAAAGTAATAAAAAAAATAATAAACATATTTGTATTCATATCCAAAATTAAATCACAAACATAAATAAGAGATAAATGAATTTAAATATTAGTTTGTAGTGGAGATGAGAAGTGGTGGGCGGCAATGATGGTGATAGGAGACAGTGGTGGCGATGATGGTGATAGTAGCAGCGACGATGATGATGACGACGATAGCAGTGGGGGAAGGGTGGTAGTGGTGGCAACAACGGAGGCGATGGTGGCGTCAGCAACGGTGGTGACAATGGTGGCGGTGGCGATGGTGGTGGTGGCGACGGTGACGATGATGATAGAGATAGTGGTGGGACGGTTTCAAACATAATTTTTTTAAAAGTATTTATGATAAATAATTTCTAAAAGTATTTTTAAAAAATCATTTCAAACACATTCTTAGGTGCCAATTTTTCTTATTAAATTTAGGGTGTTAATATTAGCCGTTAGATTAATTTTAAAGTAAAATTTAAAGCGATCTCAACTGTGAATAACAAAAGTCATTTTGTTTATTTTTGAAATTTGAATTGTAAAGTTTTTTATTATATAGATATTCATATATAGATTAGAATTATTTTATATAAATCTCTCTCACACACACCACACACACACACTCACATATGAGTTAAAATAATAACATTTAAAATTAAAAAATAATAACATTCAAGCACAAAAAATAGTAACATTGAATATTAAAAATTACAAAAATGAAATAAAACTAGTAACATTTAATATTAATATTTCAAAAAAAAAATAATAATAATAACTTATGAGCCCAAATCTAATTGGGTCAAGCCCAATTCAAGGAGTAAGCTCAAATTAACTACAAAGCAGGTCAAATTCAGCTCATGAATTTGGCCCAATCCAAAGTTTAAAGAGTGCAAGAAGATTGGTGCTCATGGGGAGTAATTACCAGATTAGTCACTTTTGAAAATCACATATATCTTTAATTGTACCTATCTTTAGCTGTAACTATCCACTCCGAATGACTAGTCACTTATCCTTTCGTGTCACCGCCTCAACTAAGGCTTTATGCCTATAAATTATAAATCCTCTATACATGAGAAGAACAACACATATTTCCATCTCTCATAGCTATCTCTCTACACCTAGAACTTACTCTTATTCTCTTTAGCACCGACTACTTAGAGCTTACTTTTACTCTTTCTACCACCGACTACTTTATCAATAAAGTCATACAGCCAGTGTTACTAACTTGACCGAACCACTCTAAATCTATGTGTTGCTTGATCTCGTCCTTATGTTTATTACATTTATTATCTAAACATTAATTACTTGATAAATGGTGTATAAATTTACTTTTGTGTATCATAATAACATTCAATATCAATATTTTTGAAAAATAGTAGCATTTAATATAATATTAATGTGTCCAACAACAAAAATAGTAAGACAAAATTAGGAATCAAACAACGTAGACAGATTACCATCTTCACATAAAAACGTGGACCCCGAAAGCACAGTAATCCACCCTCCATCGCAGAGTGGGTTGAATACTTGAATCTGATTTGAATCTAGTGGGAGAGAAAGCATAAAACCTGTCGAAGTTTACTGCTGATTGGCATAGAGTATCGATAGTCCCCCGACTTCCAACGGCAGAAGTTGGCAATCGTTTGAAAGAGCAACAAAAACCATTATATTTGGACATTCTGACGAACACATGACGAAAAACAGTTGATCGTGGCCGTCCGCTGCCATGGGTCCCTTCTCGCAAACCGACAAGATCAGGTCAAGGTAGAGTTTGGGTGAGGAATGAAAGGGGCAGTTTGAGAGGTGAGAGAGGTGTAGAGACGGTGAGAGAAAGAGGAGCCATTGATGGAAATTTTTTTACTTAATTTGAATTTTAAATTTTATGAAAAAAAAATCTTACTCACCAATCTTCATTCAAATTAAAATAAGGGGTAACAAATTTCCCAGTTAAGAAATTAATTTAACATTAGTTTTAAAGGTATTTTAGAACTTTAAAAAAAATAGTAAATTTAATTACTTATTTGAAATATTAAAATAAGGTTTATCCCAAAAGAGTTTCAATAATTAAATTACAAGTTTTAAGCTATTTGCAAGCATTTAAGTTAAAATCACGATGAATAATCTATCGTTGAGCTAAATGAAAAAAAAAAAAAAATATATCTAATTCTTCAAATTCCAACTGAAATGCAACGTTCATGATTTCCTCTTTCCCTCTGCCCATGCTCCCTCTTATCTTTTTTTTTAGAGGGCAGAGAAAGGAAGAGGGAGACTTGAACCATTGACTTAAAAAAGGCAACACCTTCACAAATCAAGGAATACTATTAGACCAAAGGTCCATTGGTACCGTACTCCCTCCCCCATGCACCGAAATCAACAATTATTCTTTTTTTACTCTACAGATTTTGCAAATAGATAACCAGCCACTTAAAAAAAAACCATTATTATTATTTAGACAGCAATACACAATATGCAGTCGAAATCATGTACAAAATCTCGAATTAAATAAGGAAATTCCACCAACATTTAGAAGCCTCCCTTTCAGATAAGGGAGTGCGACAGCCAGTTTAAATGATCTAAAAGTCAGAGTGAGAATCTCCTACATAAGAATTCATGGAATAACTGTAGAAAGCTTTTAGAAGCCTCCTCTTTCGGCAACTTTAGAAGGTGTGCAACCTTTTCAAATCCTGGGTGCTGCCTAGAATTTATAGAATTTTTGTCCACTTCAAGTTTCATACCCTGGGGTGAGAGCTTTGGCTTTGACAATGCCCACTGCATGGCCCAGATGGCCAATGGCCTCATGTAACATAGAGATCTGTATTCGCCCTCAGTATTCCAGCCCTCTGGAGTTTGAAACGAGTACCTGTCAGCAAATACCAGTTGTAGATTTGATTAAAGACATGGAACACTAGTTTTTTGTGGCAATATGTAGGTATCACCTCGAATAAGCAAAGAAAAATTTAGCAATATATTGTTTTTAAAAACACTTAACATGTAACATAAGCCCATTCGAGAACATATCTCATTCCAAAACATTAAACATTGGAGTGTTATGCTTCCAAGCCATACCTAAATGCCTCAAATGACAATTAAAAACATTGTGAAACACATGAAAGAGGATAATTCCCTGCAGTGAGTGTCCTGCTGATGTAAAGGACTTTTCATCACAATAATAACACCAGTTCCTACTAACAGAAAAATTACATTGAACAGCTCAAAACAACTGATCAATAGACCAGCTAGAAGTAAGTTCAAATCACCAAATGTTTGAGTGGTGTGCATATCCATATACACGTACTGACGAACTGTTGCAAAGAAGACCATCAAAGGAACGCTTCTTGAGCATATTTATGAGAAGAGAGCTTATATACCATGCGAAAAAGTTAGGACCACCAAGGTTCATAATATGGCAGAGGGGCATCCCATCCCATTACTAATTGGTTTGTATAGCAGAGGTGCATCCTCACCTATTACTTATTGGATAGTTGAGCTGAGCCTTTGGAGGTCAATAGGGTAAGTCTCTCGCCAATTTTAATTGCTCGTTCTATTTTTCAATATGGAAACCAAAACAAATTTGTATTCCATATGAAAAGATTAGGACTAACCAAGGTTAGTTTGTAAGGTATAGTGACCTCTCCACTCATTGCTAACTGGTTTTGGTTGGATGCATTTAACATGCTCATGAAAGTTTAATCAAACCACAGATGAGAAAGAGAATACAAATCTGTCAACTATTTCATATTCCGTAATATGAAAAATAAATAGAAAATATAATATATGCAAGTGAATATAAAACCCTAAAATAAGGGAAGGACTAGACAACCACTAATGAAATAGGCAAAAGAAATACTGAATACAATCTTGACAACCTTCTCAAATTCAAGATGTGATGGAGCTACAAAGAATTTGTTAGCAAGAAAACGAAAATGCATTGTGGCATGACATTTCGTGAAGAAGACAAACAGCTGTATAATAAAAGAACAAAAAGTAAGAAAAATAGGCCAAAGTTCAAAATGATAGTGAATCTCGATATTAGGTTCACCCATGCAAAATAAAATTGTGTGCAAACTGAATAATACACTGGCTGTCACAGTACATACTACATTCGGGGAGCAGAAAAGGAAAGTCCTAGATTGGCAAGCAACCATCTCAACTAAATCATCTGTGATATAGTGGTAATCAAAGGATGATATTTAGTCTCAACAGGTAAATGAGCGACAAAAGTCGGTTCTTGCTTTCTATGGAGACCAGAAAATCACATATAAAAACACAAAAACCAGTAGTNGAGCAGAAAAGGAAAGTCCTAGATTGGCAAGCAACCATCTCAACTAAAGCATCTGTGATATAGTGGTAATCAAAGGATGATATTTAGTCTCAACAGGTAAATGAGCGACAAAAGTCGGTTCTTGCTTTCTATGGAGACCAGAAAATCACATATAAAAACACAAAAACCAGTAGTAGATTTACGCTACACGATATTTCTTGTCTAGCCAGCATAGAATATCATGAAACTCTAAAGAATAAGCAAGATAAACAACAAATTTGATTTCAATTGCTCCGAATATATTGAAAAATGCAAAGAACTGCAATACACTGAATTTTAGTCAGAGAAAAAACAGACTCAACATCATTGCCATAGGCAATATGAGGTCGTGNACTTGTCTAGCCAGCATAGAATATCATGAAACTCTAAAGAATAAGCAAGATAAACAACAAATTTGATTTCAATTGCCCCGAATATATTGAAAAATGCAAAGAACTGCAATACACTGAATTTTAGTCAGAGAAAAAACAGACTCAACATCATTGCCATAGGCAATATGAGGTCGTGTAATAATAAGATATACGGGACTACTAACAGAAACCCAATTGGAAAGAAGATCAATAAAAGTTTAATGCATATTAAGCTCGGGAGGAGTCCCAATAGAATTTGTTACTGAACCACGTGGATAATCTCACTTGCATACTTTGATTGAGGAAGACGATAACCCTTCGAAGACAAACCATTGCATCTACCAACATTCTTATCTCACCCTCCCACATTATGTAAACTAAGGTCACACATTTGCAAAGACTTGTGATTTAAGAATAAATCTTAGGGGACCCGAAAAAGAACACCATCAAATCCAACTTGAGGGTGTTCGATCAAATGAGTTCATAGGAATGGGTTAAAAAACTTGATTCTTCTCTAATCCATCATCCCTGGATCACACTTCCACACTTCTCGACTCTCTACTCTCACACATGTGCTATAAAACTCTCACACATGACAGAGATTGGAACACTAGTGCTTTGGTCCTTTTGGTTAGGGTATTAGGTCTAGCCTAATTTGGTTGGGGTTTGTCCTACAAGGATAGAGGTGTNGCTAGGGTATTAGGTCTAGCCTAATTTGGTTGGGGTTTGTCCTACAAGGATAGAGGTGTTTGGATACAGATCCTTTTAATAGAACACAACCACAATTGAAAATGCATTCCTCCAGTCATCTCTGTCAACTGATAAACACTGACAAGTTGACAAACACTAACAGGAGGTGTAAGTGAAGTTTCACACAGTGCAAATGATGTCTTTGAATTTATGCCTATATGCAAGGGGTGTGGATCAAATTTCTCCCCTTTTCTCCAACACTTAANCACTAACAGGAGGTGTACGTGAAGTTTCACACAGTGCAAATGATGTCTTTGAATTTATGCCTATATGCAAGGGGTGTTGATCAAATTTCTCCCCTTTTCTCCAACACTTAATGCTATTTCACTCCCTTTTGAACTCTTTTCTTTTCTTGTCCCTTTCTCAGGGCAANACACTAACAGGAGGTGTAAGTGAAGTTTCACACAGTGCAAATGATGTCTTTGAATTTATGCCTATATGCAAGGGGTGTGGATCAAATTTCTCCCCTTTTCTCCAACACTTAAATGCTATTTCACTCCCTTTTGAACTCTTTTCTTTTCTTGTCCCTTTCTCAGGGCAAAGCAACAATTTTTTTAGGAGAGTCGGTGTGACAGAATTATTACTGAACTATACTTTTTGCTGGAAGAATAGTTTCTTGCTTTTTCTTCTGTTCTAAAGCTTATTCTCCAAAGGAGCTAACCTAAATATACTACTATTTCCAACATCATAGGATCTAGAGCAATGACCCAAAACTGATACTCACACAGATATATCCCAATTGTGTTTGTCAACTAGGAATCAGATTTTTTCTCTTCACTTTTCTTTTTCAAGCAGAAGATGATGGAATTCAAACCCTGGCCCCTGCTCCCTAGTAGCCCCAACTTTGAAACAAGGGCAAACTTTTCTTAGTTGACAGTAGCATGCAACTTCATGTGGGTTTGGATGTATTTTGGAATATAATTAGTCTGATAACTTCCCTAGCACCTCGCTCAATGACTAAGGTTTTAACTTTCAATAGTTACCACATTAGAGAAAAGGGTGCTTATTTCAACTTACTCATATAAATTTAAAAGATTATCCAGCGCAAAAACAACTCACCCAAGACCTTTCTCCGACCAATTTGTTTCATGGACACCAACTGCTGTCTGAAATGCCATTTCTATCATGTCTTCTTGAATCATAGCGGCGGCAACAGAATATGTGACTCCTACCCAAATTTCTCGGGACTGCATAGCTGAAAGGTCAACATTTCCATCTGGTTGCATCCCATTTACGGCTCCACGCATCCCCCCTTTCACTTTTAAAACGTTGAAATGGTAAACTGTTTCAAGTGCACTTCTTACTTTGTCTTCATCTGCAATTGGTGCAAGTCCACTTGCTCTGGCATACCTATGAAGTAACTAAATCTCAGTATATGCCCTATCCATCAAAAATTGAGTCAGAAAGAAACACAATGGTTAGAGCAAACAAAGATCCTGATCATCTTCCAAGTTATGCCTGGTATGTGAGTCTGTTCTCATCTGGATCTTCTTATTTATTATTAAGGAAAATAATAAATTTTTATGACTACCATTTTTCAATTTTTTCTTGAACATTTTAACANAAAGATCCTGATCATCTTCCAAGTTATGCCTGGTATGTGAGTCTGTTCTCATCTGGATCTTCTTATTTATTATTAAAGAAAATAATAAATTTTTATGACTACCATTTTTCAATTTTTTCTTGAACATTTTAACATGTAAGGATGGAAAGACGATTCAAAAATTTAATTTAGAGTCATTACAGAAATGTTGAACTCCAAAGAGCTGTAGGATGCCTGACATGCAATTTGGCTCCATCTGCTGATGGAAATCCAGTTCAGGGAAAATAAATGTTCATGGCACCGGGTAAACAGGATATACAAGTGATTTTCGATAGATATATGTCAACGTTATCGGATGAGAAATACGATTTTCAATTGCAACTTGCTTCAGATGGTACACCAACATACTGGTTCTGCAGGCTCAACGCAGTGGAGAATATGATTTCTAGGGTACTTCCTACACACCAGCAGTTCGATATGTATACACACACAAACCCCACCCCTATATATATATATGTTTTCCTCTAAACTAACAGGAAAACAGGACAGTACGAAAACTAAGTTTCCCATTTTAATATAACTCTAAAGAGTACTATTTCTACATGCTGGAGTAAGATTATTATACTAAAATCAATGGCTTTTGACAGGAGAAAGGGTCTTGGAATCGGAACCTTCTAGCACTGGAAGATACCATCTAAGCCAGAGGCAGTAGTAAAACACTATGCTGGATGATTGATACAGTAGGAGTCAATGGGTTCACCTCATGTATCTCAAGAGACATTATATTTGGGTGGCTAATATTCCATGTGACTACTCTTGGTCTTGGAGGAGTCCCGGTTAGGGAAGAAAGAATGTGGTTAATGCTATTATCAAGTTTAAGATTTGTAGTAGTAAAAGCACAAATCAGTGGCATTGCCCGTGCCCTGGAAATTGTCCCAATTAGCTACATCAGATGTACGAGATCACTATTCTAATGGAAACAGGTCTCCCAAACCATCTCTTGTAAGTGACTCATCAAAATGGGTATTGGAACCTTCCTCCTAACCACACAGTGGCTGGATAGTGTCTAATGCAAGAGATTGCCTCAGTATTTAGCAGTCTAATAAATGACATGAATAGAGCGTTTTGGTATGCAGACAAATGGAAAGCTTATAGAGACTCAGTGGATATGAAATAAACCAACATCAAATGGTAGTTGGACAAGGGACTGCCACTGGTAAGCTTCAGGTGAGACATTGACAATGCCAATAAGAAGAAAATTTAAGGAGTATAGTATGCTCTGAAAATGCAGAGCCGGAAGGAGGATGGTGTAAGTAACATGGATTTGTGTATAATGAGACATTTGAAACTCCACACCAGGAATAAAACTAAGGAGATGTCTCAAGATAGAGCTAACTGAAATTCCATGCCGGGAATAAAACTGAGGAGATGGCTCAAGATAGAGGCATAACTGAAATTGAGGCTATTTAAATCGAATGGCATTGAGGTTAGCATATAAATTCAATGATCAATCGAGGACAAGGATTTTGACCTACTTAAATGGAGACAGATTCGTGGTACTGTAAACCATGTATATATGGTAGTGAACTGGTTTTAATTTCAGGATAACACTTGGATTGGTCAATATTCAAGTAAGAGAAGGGAAGAGCAGATGGATTTTCAATATAGTTCATGCCAAAAAAAGAGATAGATGATCACCAAGGATTCATTTCAGTCATGAGAATAAGTCCATATATACTTAGTACTCACCATTGCCCAGCCAACTGATCAGCTTGAATGGAAGAACTCGACCTACTGCCGCTATTGTCATAGTTAAAGTAGCAACCATTCCATAAATTGCCATATACAGTCTTGGCCTTCTGGAACTTAAGCCAGAAGTAATCAGCAGATGCAATATCACCAACTTCACGTGCCATGGACGAAGCTGCTTGAAGAGCAGCCACATAGAGCCCACCGCAATATGTGCTCACACCATTAACTGTCCATGCATCATATGTCTGATCAGGGTATCCTTCATTTTCAATCATGCCATCACTATTTTTATCAAACTGCTCCATATAAGCCATGGCAATATACACAGACGGCCAAACAGCTCGCCCAAAATTTTTATCACCAGTGGCAACCATATCCCTATAAACTTGAAGAACATATTTAGAATTCAAATCTTTCCACCTGTCTGTATTATAAAAGTTGTACGCATTTACTTCAAACCATGGATCATTGAGTCCAATATCATGAGGAACAGCTCCAAGAGCCTTTCTTGAGACGCATGTTCCATCGCTCATAATCTTCATTCTGCTTGGATCATGCATCATCACTGCCATGGCAAAGTCTCTTTGGATACTCAGCTCGAGCTTGGGAAATAGCATGAGTAGTGCAAAAGAAGAATAAAAATGGACATCGTAGGTGTTATACATGTGATATTCAATCCCTTCAAGATATAGGAACTGACCAATGTTCTCTTCTCCATTTTCAAGCAAACAGGTTCCAAAAGCAGAGTTTGACGTTACTGGAGTGTATATTTGCTCAAGCGTAGTTTTCATCCTTTCAAGAATTCGAACAGATGTGTCCATTTGATTGGCTACACCAATTGTCTTCTCAGATTCTGATCCAGGCCTATCAAGGGAAAATTTTGTCCCACCAATGTTTGCAATGCTCTGCACCGGAGGTGATCCATCTGTGTAGAACAAAAAGTGATATTATACTTCGGAACAAAATATTCAGCCTACAAACTCTAATTCCCATGAATACCTGTCCAGATCGTCCCCCCCGCATTAAGATAATAAAGCTCATTGAAGAGACTGATTGGGTACCTGAGAGAAACTTCCCATTATTTATCATTAATTAAAAAGTTTGAAAAACCCTGTATCTCAAGCATAAAACTTGTTTCATCTCACCATTCAGGAAGCCTTTTGTCTTCCAGTGTTGGTTTTTGCCATGCTTCAATCTGGGACTCCCAATGGGCATGCTCTGATTCAAAAGCAGTCAAAGGAAAGACATTTAGATTGCCTAACAAACAAAAGACTTTTAACACAATTCATTTATTTTTTAATATTCTTATGGTTGATGGGGCAAAAGTAAACCCTCTACCATGCATAGAGATGTTGCTTCTTCCAGCCCCCCCTCCCCCCTCCTTATACAAATTTTTTTTAAGTATATATCCGGTGAAACTGAGTTGGGAAGTCAAAATGGAAATACTCCACGCATGTTGTGTTCCACTGGCAGGGTATTATACTGTTGGTTAATGAAAGGTTCTCAAACAGAAAAATTTCACAAGGGCGTCCATATTGATTTCATGACAAACAGGCAAAGAACAATCTCACCAATCTCCTCCATCTATGTTTAACCAAATCTAGGGAAACCCATGGATCATATTCCTCAATGTAGCTAATTATAATAATGAACTTTACGCAGTATGGTGAACATTACCAAGAATAGCATCAAGTGCAATCCTTGCTGCTGCATCCCCATGAACGCCATAAAAGCTTGTATAGCGCCTGTCAAAATGTCCGAAGTGACACACTACCTCCATGATTTAGTTTCATGTGATATTGTAAGGGGGCTATAATGACCAACCTGTGGTAAGTCCTTCCACTAGGAAATCTTATTTCTGGGCAGTCCCATGACAGTGAAAAGGAAACATCACGGACTGCGCCAGAAGGAACAGTCAGAGAAGCTGCAATGGCAGCTCCAATAGATGACCCTGGTTCTGAAGACATCAAAGCTTCATCATAGTTAAGGCGGTCAAAGGACCCATGCTGCAAAACAAGCAAAAGAAAAATAGGATAATACTTGTGAGAAGTCAACATGTAGGAGAATAATATTATGCCTCAAAAGTGTTAGTTCATAATGACAGCGGTCTAGTATGCCACGCGTAAACCCTAGAGATCATTTTATGCTATGGAGGAGTCCGGGAGCATAGCTCTAGCCGGATTTCCTTGAGCAGAGTGGTATCAATGTAGATTCAATTGGTAAGAGGACAGCTTAGCTCAGTTGGTAGGGCACTAGCAGTGTCGAAGCTACTGTGGAGTTCAACAGCGGGTCAAAACAATAGAAAAAGTAAAGTTTGTAGAGTTCGTAATTGTTTTAAGTCTCTTGAGTCTTGTATGTGTCGCGTCGATTGTACTGGATTTTAGGCTTTATTAGNGTAGCAGTGTCGAAGCTACTGTGGAGTTCAACAGCGGGTCAAAACAATAGAAAACGTATAGTTTGTAGAGTTTGTAATTGTTTTGAGTCTCTTGAGTCTTGTATGTGTCGCGTCGATTGTACTGGATTTTAGGCTTTATTAGGTCATACTTTTCTCTGTTTGAACTTTAAAATTAAAACACGTGTTGCCTTGTGTGATTACCTTTAATTAATTGGCTCAAACGCCCTAGATTAATATATCACAATCTATTGACTTCAAATCAGTTCAATAATCTAAATTGTCATGCATTTTATTTACTTGCCTATAGCACGTTCCGGTGTTAATGGATTTGTTTGGATGTTTCACACAACTTTGTGAATTTGGTCCTAATAATTATTTTAGGTTCTAAAACTCACGTTTGTGATTAAAAAAAATCCCTATTTACTCTCCTCTAGGTCCATCTTGGGAATTTACACATCAATCTTGCAACTGTCAAATAAGACATCCACAGTACTACACAAGGAAATAAGAATATACAAGAACTTTACTCCATTATGATTGGTCTCAACCATAGACATTCAAAATTAATGATGACAATGAAAAAGTGTAAGACCCCATGTATGTATTTTGAATTTTTAATAGATTATTAAGTAGGTTATTGAGTTGTGAAATTATTGTTATGAAGTTCATTGCAAAATTGAAGTTGTAGTAGTTGGGTCTTTTAGGTGACTTCACATTTTTTGGATAATCACTCTTAGGAGAAATTTAAGTGAAATTCTAAAAGTCTTTGGGTGAAGATAACATCAAAACTGAATTCAAAGCATCAGAAAACCTTGGGAAGGTATTCTGGCACTCAAAGACATTTGGAGAGAATTTGGGAGGGAAAAGATTTGACACTACTTCGGCATTATAGCCATAACTTTTTATCCTAATATCCGATTGAAATGATTCTTACAACATTGGAAAGAAGACTTCAACCTCTACAAAAGTGTGTTGATCAGGTAGAGTTGTAGTAAATCACCTTGAGACTCGGTGGAGGGTTTAAACAACCTGACCCTGGGTGATTGTTGCTTAGCTAGTTAACAGAAAAAAGTTGCGCCTTCACTAAAACGGTTTTTGTATAACGGTAAGCATTTCGAACCAATAATTGGTATCAGAGCAAGGTGATGGGTTCGAGTCCTTGGGTAGTTGCTAGGAAGAGATTGTTGGCCTAGATAGAGTCTTCCAGAGACTCAGTGCAACAATAAGCGGTTCAGTCCAACAAGGTGTATTTCTTAAAAAATTTCGTGAATCGACCTCTAACTAGGTCAAAATCAGCCTGGGAGTTTAGGGCAGAAAGTCACCATATCCCGATAGAAATAGTAAATCCGGACGCGTGGGTTGTATTTAAATGGAAGGTTTAGTCTGTCCAGACGCATCCAGCTGTGCATACGATTCCCGGTGCGTTTGCGTTGTTTAGCTCTGTTTTTCACCTATAACTACCCAGAGTTTAGGGTCTATTTGCACACTCCAACCCTATGAAAACTTAAGAGGGGCTTGAAGATACAAGAAAGAAGGGGGGAAAGAACAGACTGAGCTAGAACGAGAAGAGATCCACAAATAGGAATCAAATAAAGCACTTTATGATCAATAATCTAAGATATCAAGGTAGGGTTTCTTTCTTTTTTCTAAACAATGAGGCTAGGGAGTATTTATATGCAATCTTTGACTCAAATTTGTATACATACTATAGATTTATAATTGTTTTGGATTTCTTAAGTAAGTATGATTCGTTTTGATGGAAAAATACCTGATTTATATTTGTTATGGGCTTTTGGTTCATAAAACCCTAAATCTTGAATCATGTTTTATAAATAGTTTGTTTGCGATTTCATGCATGTTTTATCAAAATTTTCCTTACTTTAAGAATTGTCAAAACTATTATTTGTGGTATAGGCAATCTATTTGGAAAGTATGATTTAAATCTCTTGTATTGGTGGGCTTGATGAACTTGTAGTCTTGTATGCACTCGAACATATATTACAGAGTGCTTAGATGTATTTCTTACCTGAAAGGGTTTGAAAGTTCTTTATCACTCGTATTGGGGTTGGTTTCTTGCAAGGTTCCAAACCATTATTCGATCATGTAGGTTCAAGGCTGACGGTCAATATATTACTCTTGGGAAGATTTTGTTAAATATTTATGTGTTAGTATATCAGCCTTCTAAAACGATGTGGCCCTGCAGGGATTGATTGGATAACCTATGTTTGTGGGGATAAACCAAATATATTTTAGTGTGTGAATTCTTACTAGTCAACCTACATACATGAGATGTTCCTGTTAGGATTGTTTATTCTTTGAATAATCAATTATATGATGAAATTTTTATACATGTATAAATACTTGAGATTGTTAAAAATGTCATTTATTTTACTTTAATAGTTGTATAATTATTTTGTAAATTTGAGACAGACTTTTTTTATACATTTTGTAAACTGTGTTTAGGTTACTAGAATTCTTTAAGAGTAAAATGGATACACAAACTGAGTGCAGAACACTGTATATATAGTCAAATAAGAGTCCAACTGACTAGAACACCCCTCTGGTCTAGGTAAGACATAAAAACCATAGTAATGGCAAAAAATGAAAACTAATAACTAGATTATAATTCCAATACTCCACCTCAAGTTAAGAACAAAAATGTCAATTAACCCAAACTTGACAATAGAGTCTCGAANGAACGGCAAAAAAAGAAAACTAATAACTAGATTATAATTCCAATACTCCACCTCAAGTTAAGCACAAAAATGTCAATTAACCCAAACTTGACAATAGAGTCTCGAAGAATGGATGGAATGACAGACTTGGTAAAGACATCCGTAACCTGATCACTAGTCCCCACAAATAATGGGGTGACAATACCTCAGCTGACCTTCCTATGAAAAAAGTAAACATCGATCTCTATATGTTTTATCCTCTCGTGCAATACAGAGTCAAAAATGAGCTAAATAGCAGATCGGTTATCACAATACAATATAGATGGAGAAGTCACTGGAAATTCTAACTGGCCAAGAATAGATCGTAGTCATATAACTTCATATGTGCCAAGTGTCAGTGGTCGATACTCTACCAGTGCTAATGAAGGGGAGACAGCTGCTTGCTTCTTACTCTTCCAAGAGATAAGATAAGTCCCTCGAAAAGCACAAAAACCCGTTGTAGATCGATCATCACAAGCTCTCCTATAATTTGAATCTGATTAACAGGGTAGAGAATTGATAAGAGACCCTGATGCATAGAACAACCCAAGTCTAGGACANTAATGGCAAAAAATGAAAACTAATAACTAGATTATAATTCCAATACTCCACCTCAAGTTAAGAACAAAAATGTCAATTAACCCAAACTTGACAATAGAGTCTCGAAGAATGGATGGAATGACAGACTTGGTAAAGACATCCGTAACCTGATCACTAGAGCCCACAAATAATGGGGTGACAATACCTCAGCTGACCTTCCTATGAAAAAAGTAAACATCGATCTCTATATGTTTTATCCTCTCGTGCAATACAGAGTCAGAAATGAGCTAAATAGCAGATGGGTTATCACAATACAATATAGATGGAGAAGTCACTGGAAATTCTAATTGGCCAAGAATAGATCGTAGTCATATAACTTCATATGTGCCAAGTGTCAGTGCTCGATACTCTACCAGTGCTAATGAAGGGGAGACAGCTGCTTGCTTCTTACTCTTCCAAGAGATAAGATAAGTCCCTCGAAAAGCACAAAAACCCGTAGTAGATCGATCATCACAAGCTCTCCTATAATTTGAATCTGATTAACAGGGTAGAGAATTGATAAGAGACCCTGATGCATAGAACAACCCAAGTCTAGGACAAAACTTTAGGTGCCAAAGAATATGATATACTGCATCCAAATGAGACTGACACAGCTTGTGCATAAACTGACTAACTCGACTGACCGCAAATGAAATATTTGGCCTAGTGTTGGCTAGGTAGATAAATCTATCTATCAACCTCTAATAGATAGTCGGATCTCTCAACGCCTCACCTTTAAATAGTAAGCTTTAGGTTTGAAATCATAGGTGATGATGCCAGTTTGCACCCCAGCATTCCAGTGTCCAAGAAAAGATCCAGAACGTACTTCCTCTGAGAGAGAACAATAACCCTATTACTACGGGCAATCTCAATCCAAAGAAAATATCATAGAAATCTAAAGTTCTTCACATCGAAGGCCTTCCCAAGGTTAACCTTACCTGTGTAGTCCCANGAATCATAAGTGATGATGCCAGTTTGCACCCCAGCATTCCAGTGTCCAAGAAAAGATCCAGAACGTACTTCCTCTGAGAGAGAACAATAACCCTATTACTACGGGCAATCTCAATCCAAAGAAAATATCATAGAAATCTAAAGTTCTTCACATCGAAGGCNAAATCATAGGTGATGATGCCAGTTTGCACCCCAGCATTCCAGTGTCCAAGAAAAGATCCAGAAAGTACTTCCTCTGAGAGAGAACAATAACCCTACTACTACAGGCAATCTCAATCCAAAGAAAATATCATAGAAATCTAAAGTTCTTCACATCGAAGGCCTTCCCAAGGTTAACCTTACCTGTGTAGTCCCAGAAACATCACCCAATAATAATAACATCTTCCATATATATCAAGAGAATGACATACTGCCCAGA